AAAAAAGTTGCATTGTTTTAAAGATACGAATCTATCTTCAAGGTAAATTCCATACCCCAACTTTTTACACCAACCTTTTACCCCAACTTTTAGCCGCAACTATTTGCCTCAACTTTTCGCGCCTACTTTTTATCGCAACTCTATATACCAATACAATCAGTCATCTACCTGATCGCAAGTATTTGCAACCTCCTTGAACCTGACGGCAATCCCATGTTACAAATACTAATATTTCCTTCTAGACTGGCAGGGAAATTCCCTAAATTTAAAGCAATGGCGGCGCCGCGCAGGTTGAAGTGAAGAGCGTGTAAGCGATACATACATATAATGAAGCCTATAATTACAGCCTTTTTATTAGTTACCGCCTTAACTACACGGACAACACAACATCTTATGAATGCTTCATGACGACTACTGGTTAGTGACGGGTAGTGACCAATAATAATGGCTAGCGACCAATGGTGAAGGGTAGTGACCAATGGTGACGGTAGTGACCAATGGTGACGCGTATAGACGGGTAGTGACGAATAGTGGCGGGTAGTGACTAGTAGTGACGGATAGTGACGGGTAATGACGAATAGTGACGGGTAGTGCCCAATAGTAATGGCTAGTGACCATGGTGACGGGTAGTGACCAATATATAGTGACGCGTAGTAACGAGTAGTGACGGTAGTGACAGGTAGTGACGGGTAGTGACGGGTAGTGACGAGTAGTGACGGGTAGTGACGAGTAGTGACGGGTAGTGTCGGGTAGTGACGGGTAGTGACGGGTAGTGACGGGTAGTGACGAGTAGTGACGGATGGTGAAGGCTAGTGACGTAAGTCGCTGCAACAATTCAAGTTGCGTAACTTAAGTTTCATCACAACTTAAAAGTGCCAGGAAAGTTTACCAGTAAAACTTCAGGGACAATTTTTCAAGGACCCAAGGCTCTCATTAGATGAATTTTTGAATTATCTACTCGAGATACTTATTATTATTAACTATTGTAAACTTTTGTTCATTTTTAGCGCTAGTTTACTGAACTAATTAATTGCGTAATGATGAAGGTGATGATCGAGGGTGGTGATGGTGATGAGGGTGATGAGGGTGAAGAGGGTGATAAGGGTGACGATGGTGACGAGGGTGGTGATGGCTGACGTCAAAGTTTGGTTTTTGCTGCCAACGCCGCAGGTGTCAAGAATCCAGTTCGATCTGGAACGCTTGGTTAACCTGGCTGAGCAGGTTACTTGGTTAACCTGGCTGAGCAGGTTACTTGGTTAACCTGGCTGAGCAGGTTACTTGGTTAACCTGACTGAGCAGGTTACTACCAAATCTCTATCTACCAGTAACCAGGTTTATCATCACTTCAAAAATTTCAGTACAAATACAATCAATAATAAAAACAAATGTACACGAAAGAGAGTTACACCTAAATACGTGTCGATCAATAATAAAGTCGAGTCACCGACATGTGGAACAGCCTCCCTGATATGGCATCGTTGACGCTCCGAGTATGAACATCTTCAAGAACAGACTAGACGAAGCTATGCAGGAGCATATGTGCAGTCTTAAAATGCCTAGCAAATTACGGATCAGGCAATAAGTCCAGCAGCTATCTCAATCAATCGTCAGCTATGGAAAGATCGGGTTCCAAAGGCCGGATCCCATGTGAATCAAGTCAGGAAAAATTGAAGAATCGGCAACAGGCCATGGGCCTATTTCTTCAACGCCGACACTTCTATTCAATTCTAATATCAAGTTGATATGGACTATAAGCGTTGCTAAGGCAAGCTTTCAACCTAAAAATATCAGAGATCAAAAAATTATTAAACGACACCTGAGATTGAACTAAGCAAGGACATTAAAATTGTTGCCTGACTCAGTCAAGTCGCACCATTCAGCGTGGAGGCTCGCAACAGGATGCCGCGGATGATCCAGCGGAAGTCCAGAACGAAAACTGCTTCCGCTGTTTAAGCAATACTGATGTAAAATATATGTTGAATAAATGCAGTCGATGGGTTGAACACGGCTGACTAATTTAATAACAGTTTAATGGTATAGTAAAATTCTCTCACAGATCACAAATGAGCCCTCGAACCACCTCTACAGCCACTAGACTCACTCAGCAGTAGCAGTGTTTGTCCATGAGCCATGAACAGAACTCACGCCGCAGTCAACACTCGAGACACCATGCTCACTATAGCCATAAGCCATATCGTACTCATGAGCCTGTAGCAGCCATTGAGCATAACCTCGCTACGTGGCTACTCGCTACTGCATTTCGTTGCGAGTGACGTCACCAGATCCTGCAATGTTCGCTGTGAGACTTCTTCCTCGTGTTAGTTCGAAGATTAATTCCGGCAGATCGTCCTGCATGTTAGACGAACTTGGGTCCGTATGTCATGCAGAGAGCCAGTTAATAAAGCTATACTCGCCTAACGAGCTCTCATTAGGCTATTCGAACTCACGCAGACGTGCGGTATCTTCCCCGCTTCGCTGACTCTCATCCTTCGTTCCGATAGCAGCTAATGACTTCTAGTCAATCGTTCCTCGATTTGACGACGCCATGAAATAATTATGCAGTGACATGGATACAACACAGCGTTTCGGAGATCACTCCAGCCCTAGTATCTTGCACAAAGTTTGCAATATTAAAGTTACTATCATAAACGAACGTGCTAGGTAACCAATAGGCAGAGCTGGGCAGCGCTACTTTGAAATGTAGCGCCGCTACCGCTACCGCTACATGCTCTAAATGCAGCGGGCGCTACCGCTACCGCTACATCCACTAGATTGTAACGGGCGCTACCGCTACCGCTACAGTAAAATGTAGCGCCGCTACATTAGCTGCTACAATGGCCAAAATTATTAGAAATCTCTTAATATTTATTGATCTGCTATTGGGATTTACTCATTAAAATTTAATGATAATAAAACATTTTTAAAACATATCAATGCAACTTTATTGCAATTAACCTAACCGAACTAGTATGGGTTACCCCAGGGTTAGATACAGTAAATAAAAGTTACAGTTATTTTTATGTTTTGCCTTCCCTACATGGATGTGAACTTTAATCTACCAATCTAAAAAATTATCCACATTTACATATAAAAATCAGTTTTTTTTGTATATATATGTGGATTATTTTTGAGATTGGTAGATTAAAGTAGACATCCATGTAGGGAAGGTGAAACATAAACATAACTGTAAAAATAACTGTAAGCAAACTGAAAGATGAAAAAAACCTGTAAGTGGTAACTGGTAAGAACTTAACAAGTAACAACTAACATGTTGACACTAGTAACAGGCTGAGGTTGACAACATTACACCGAAATCTTTCGTACAGTTTTATTCTGTAATTTATATTATGTATGCATCATGCTGGTTTTTAAATAATATTTAATACTATTAAGGGGACCGGCTACCCTAAAAATCGGAAATTTTGGCTTTACCGTTTTCTTGACTCATTTTGTAGCTGCTGAAAAGGCGCGTCTAACGCAGTTTACCGCATGTCTGTGCGTGCTATAATTTTTGCGTAAGACAATTTTACAAATATATATATGAACATTTTTAACAATATGTACAAAGATTTATTTGAATTAAATCTGTATATATAGATCATTACTCTCATTAACTACAAAGTGTTTGCACTCGTATGAAAGCTACAAACGAGACGCGTTCAGCAAGCTACTACCATAGATGTACATGCAATACTTTTTTGTGTAATGCAGTCTTGAACTTTTATAAAATGATCATTTTATATCATTATTTACAAATAAATGGTATTTATGTATATGTCATTATTTAAAATGTGAAAAAATGGGAAGAACGCGAATAAAAAAAACGATGAGGAAAATCAAAATCGGGGCTCTACAGTCGCTAGATATTGTTGTTACAAATCGAATGATATGTGTCTCGACATTGTAGCATGTGATTTGCAGAAGTTATAAATTTTTTTAGAGTACCTCATATATGCCGTTTTCTATTAATTCCATGTTTTCTTTCATTTTTTTAATTTACATGAACAAAAAGGTCTTAGATTTCTGTTTTACATATGTGTACCAAGTTTCAAAACGATCCGTCTGTAAACAAAAAAGTTTTGTTGGAGGGTAGCCGGTCCCCTTAAGTAAAATCTAAAGGCTTTATCTATAAATGTAGCGGATGTAGCGGTAGCGCTGTAGCGGCAAAACCTCGTATCGCTACTTAAATATGTAGCGGGCGCTACCGCTACCGCTACATTGCCTTAAATGTAGAGCCGCTACCGCCACCGCTACCGCTACCGCTACATGTAGCGCGCTACTGCCCACCTCTGCCAATAGGGTCATGATAGTTACAAGTAATCAAAACTAAATGTTTTCGAAAATTCACATTGGATAATATGTTAGTAAATTGAGTCCTTTTCTCCTATCGAGCCAAATAAGCGAAAACATGATTTTCCATTTCGCCTATGCAAATGACTGTGTCTGAGAAAATTTTAATTTTAAATTTGACGCACCAAGTCGGTACACTAAAAATCATAATAATTCAACGATGAATTGATTTTTGCCCTAAATGAAGAGTTTGTCCTAAAAATGATATGCACTTCTTAAAAATAACACTATTTGTAATTGCATTATTCCATCTCTCTTCAGTATTTCTTATCCTTCTAAGTGCCAAACTTGACTCCATGGCAGTTTTTGTCTTGAACGAAGTTTTGTCGCTCTGGTGATATCTGCTCGAAGGATGATAAAAACTGTAAGGAATTAGCATGAAAACATATTAAGTTTCTGAGAGATTTCAATTTGTACTTTTGTGGCACGAGTTGAGATGAAACTCTTATGCTTCGAAAAACAGAAACACATTTATATGAATGAAAGAGTGATTATGAGAGCTCTATATAATTATTTTTAGGTAATACCGTTATATTCATAAAATAAGTTTGCGATAATAGATAAAAAATTCAAATTTGCAAATTGATGTAAATTAATTTCAGTGACCGCAAGCAAACGAACTGATCAGTTTGGGTAATTCCTGCAGATTACATGTTTGTCTTATCTCTACCTGATAAAAGGGCATTTCGTCCGATTCTTCATTTGTAGGCGCTGCAGTTAAACGAATTGAAAGAATGCGTACCATTGCACGGTTCCCTCAATATATTAAATTTATTCTAAAATTAAATAGCATTTGTAAATTTATAGGATGATTATAGCCATTTTCAACCAAGATCAGAACACTTAAGACATTTTCCTGTAGAACTGAAGACACTTTGAGGTATTCGGACATTTTGTTTAGGTTGCAGTGATGGCTGCGCTAAGTGGTTTTGTCGAATTTTTCCAGAAAGGAAAGGTGAGAAACAAATTAGCTAAATGTGTGCACTATGATTGTTTCTTGATAATTAAATATACCATTTTGCAAGTATTTCTTCATCTTCAAGCCGCCAACAACAACAAAATGTACTATTTCTCAAATTCTCATATACTGTCATACTCAATAGGTACTCTACTCTCTAGTCATACATAAGTCCTAACCTAGTCGTTCATTCAGTAACACTACAGCATTGGGCTTATGGGCTATGCTATGATTTTAAAAGATTGTGCCATGTTGCATCTTGCAGTTAGTAGTTTCTTCTACTCTAGTTCAGAGTAGTGGCTTAGCGTAAAAATTTGTATCTTCACCCAGATTTATCATACTTGAGAAATTGGTTTAAATCTTGAGTTATTGAGGAAATTAAAAATGAACTGATTCCAAAAAAGCTCTGGTTTGCCACTATGCCTTCACACAGTCCAACATCTCAATAGATGCAATACCTATTCAGCCTCTATTTCCCTCTGCAAGTTATTAGAAAAGCTTACACTTACAGCAGTTCTGTCTAGAAAAACTACTATTTTATTAATTTCATCTAATTATAGCTCCTATTCAATGAATTGGGGAATAATTGATGGTCTTCCTAAATTTCTAAACTTCCTTACAGAACTGAAAATTTTTCAGAACTAGGTAGCTACTAATGAAATGAATGAGACCAAAATGCCTGAAAGGCTTGAATTGTAGGCAATTTCACCCATTCCAATTGATCTTTCTCTAATTCTTCATCAAAATTTTACTAAAATGGCACATTCTTGTATGCTTTTTTGAAATATCTCCTATAAAACAATATTTTTTTTGGTAATTTATGGTAAATTATGCATAATATTCTAAATTGTCCTCATAATTCATAATCATTGATAGTAAATTGTAATGTCAACAGTCAACTCAATGCCACTTTGATGGCCAGAGCATTCACGCTGCCACATAGTGGCAAAGCAGAGAGTTATTTAGACTCTTCCTCAAGTTCATTTTTGAGTCCTATAAGTAGGGTAAACGCGGTATATTCGGACATCATAGGTAATTCCGTCACCTCTCCAGCTTTTCCTTCATATTAAGCTTTGTTTTAGTTCCATGCATTCATTGATGGTTGAAATGGTGACGTCATACATTTGCGTGTCAAAATACTGCAAAAACACTAGGTCTTGGCCATCTAGTGGGAAAATATTGAGATCCAAAGAGAGACAATGCATGCCACCTGGTGAGATCATCGAAAAATGTGTCAAATTTGACAGTTGACAT